TAAATATATGATACATATGTACAAATATTTATGTGCAGCTTATCCATTATAATGACAGAAAAGAAACATAATCAATATTATTTATGTAAAGGATAATTGAAAAAGAATTTTTTTAAAAATCACAGTTACATGATTGTGATATTTAAGTATAGGTTTTAACCGCGCTCAGCATGACTCAAAGCCAATGAACGGGGACGTGACGGTTACTGGCTTCATTTTATTGTGTTTTTGTATTTTATTATTTTTTATTCTTATTTTAATGTTTTAATATTTAATGTTTTGCAATATTATTATTATTTGATTTAAAACCAAACAAAATTAAATATTAACATTCCATAATGAGACATCATTTAACAAAATATTTGAGACTAATATTATTGAACATTTTCCGCAAGATTTAACTTATCTTTTTATTTATATATTATATTTGTTTTCTTTATACATTTAGTTTTATTAATTTTAAGAAGTATCAAATGAAGGGCAAGTGAGCCTTGCACGAAATTAGTGCTAAAATTACATATATTTAAACAATAATCATTATCACTCAAACGTTTCGGCTCCGCATTGAGCCATCTTCAGTGGGTAAAAAATACAAAAAAATTATTTCTTCTCTTCTACTTTACATTAGCGCTTTGTTCTTTCCGCTCGCACGAAGGTCGCTTATCGCTCGTTGTGAGATCGTTCGTTGGACAATCGTAATGTCATGTGATCCCATCCTCAGGTGACAAATCAACGGATCGCATCGATGATTTGAATGATTATTGTTTAAATATATGTAATTTTAGCACTAATTTCGTGCATTATATATAATTAGGGAGAGCGCTATTTAAATTAGAATATATCCTATGTACAAACGTTTATTTAAACTCAATTTAGATATAGTATTTTGTCTCGTAATGTATGTTCTTTACTTTGCAGACGTATTCAATAAGACCTTGCACTCGTAATTATTTTTAAAAAGTAGTTCCTAAAAATTTAAACGAATCCCGTTTAAGTTTACATTATTTCGATAAAGAAACATCACAAAATGTGATGTTTTAATATTATATTACTCATATAAAAATATTGGTCCTGTCTCAAATTCTTTTATGTTTATCTATATTCCATATATTGATCTATATATACATAAATTCTATTTGTTTTGTTTTATAATATTATAACATATATTATAACATAATATTATAACATATATATTATAACATATATATAAATATTCATTTATTATTAATTATTATTTAAATAAATTTTTTGTTTTCATTTTCACTGCATATTGTTATCCCTTCATTTTAATAGTAATATATTTTGTAATCTTAACGTAATTATGCATATAATAAATGCGCATATAATAACGTTGTTGATACACGATCTGAAAGAGTGATAGGAAATATGTCGAATTTTTGGTAAAGATTTTGTCCTTCATGTGTGGTGCTTTCAGAAATGAAAAATGCTACTCAGATATGAATAATGCATTTGAGTTACAATCAATATGATAAAATATTCACATGCGGATAATAAAGATATCATATATATCATACATCCTGTCCAATTATTGAAGAAATATAAAGATAAAAAGGATTATAAATTTATCAAATAGTGGAAAATTCTCATTAAAGATATCATATCATATATCCTGTCCCATTATTAAAGAGATACAAGATAAAAGAAAATTAATTTTATCAAATAGTGGAAAATTTTCATATTTAATCTTTTTTATTTGTAATGAGGAGAAATAGCCAGAATAGATAAGTAATATGAATAAAACAGTACGTCAGAACACGTAACGTATCGAACATAAAATCATAAAAACTAAAAAAATTTTAAACAATTGAAATAATTTTTTTAAGTTATATGGACACCCGAAGCTCTGCAATTGACAATAACTGTATTAACATTTCTTGATCTACTAAAAATCACGCAAAATATTACATATCTTATTTTTTCGAAACGTTCCCAAAACGTTATACACATTTAGAAATTATTAAATTCAGGAATATTATTGTAGCTTTCTTTTTATAAATCCTTTAAGTAAAAAAATATATCGCGAAAAATTATGAAAGTTTACCGTGAAAATTGTGTTTTAAAAATATAACTTTAGCTATACGTAAATATAACAAACTTTAAAATTACTATTTCGTGACAGATTTTATTATAACTACCCGGTTATAAAAGATATTGTGACCTCGGTTATAAAAGATATCGTGACGTCGGAATTTATGAGAATTAAAATATTCGATATCTCCAATAAACAAAGTGATTAATAAAATTTATATATTGTGTTGATTATAGGAACAACGGTGACGCAGGAGCTCATATGGTTGGTAGCGAACGATATGAATTTCGAGGAAGCGCTTCAAAGGACTTTATTAGAGAGATTTCCCTTTATAGAGTATATATGATTCTACACATACATAAAGATTGCAGGAAATAAAATTCACATTTTCTAGATTTATGGCGCAATGAAAAAAATTATCACTTGACTTTCAATAAAATTTTTGCGTTTTAAACTTATGTTTAAAGTTCTAAAAATTCAATTTGCAAATCTTGTATTCAACAGGATGTTACAATATACATTAGATTATATACTTCAAATTGGATGAAAAATGTAGAAAAATCAAATGTTTATTTTGTACTATTCTGATATGAAATTATAAAATCGCAAAACAATCAAGCGCTGCGGTAGCGGCGCGACGCCAAGTATATATAAAATAATATATATAAAATAATATATATAAAATAAAAGTCGGGTGATGACTTGTGAGTATACGGCACTGGCACTGCGCTACCGCTTAGCTTTATCTCGAAGTTTTGCCTCGTCAGATTTCCGATTTTTAATATCTCGGAAACGAAAGTTCTAATGAAAAATCTAATGACACTTTCGCTATATAATA